ACAACCAACATGTCAGGCTAACAATCAACATATACCGAACCGAAAACTGTGAACCGAACTGAACCGTGGATTTTGTGAATCTTTCCACCCCTAATAAATAAAAAAATATATATATATATATACACACACACACACACACACACACTTTTGTTGTTTGAGCTGGAACTGAGTATTTCCTCTTTTTCCTTATGCCAGTTTTCCATTGGTGCATCTCCTGTCAGTAGGAATAGTTACTTTTCTTTTTTTTTTTTTGCATTTATAAGTCTGCACAGCACCATCCATCAACCCTCTATACCTGCCTGTACCAACAGGGTCTCCATCTCCAACGTTATCAGGCAAGAGGCCGGAATGCCGACCCATCAAAAGGACAAAACGGAGACAACCGAGTCTATGCAGGGGGGAGACCCTCAAGCCCCGGAGAATTTGCCTTCAGACAACAGTGCTACCAACTGCTCAGCTTTAGACCTAAAATAACCAGACCAGTCACCTACCCTGGGATGTTCTTTACAGAGTCAACGTTTGAATCCTTTACTTTGTATGAAAGAACATAAAAGAACAAAAAAGGAAAATGTTATAAGTTTCCATTGAAGATTTCTGGTGTAGTTTCTCTCCTCCAGAACATTTACTACTACAGGAACCAAGCCCAAATCTGACAAATTGGGTAGAGAGAATTTAATTGAGCGCTGGTCCAAATTTAAAGGCAGTACTTTCTTACAGGAACCCTCAAACCAAGCATGAAGTTCAACAGTAAATACCCCCATCACTAGACTCCTTTAGTTTGGCTTTTCTTTTAACTCTAAATAACTGGATAATTGCTGTTCATTTCTACTGAACACCAACGTTTATGATAAAATAAATTAATCAGGGAAACCAAAAAGATGATATGTATTGTATTTTGTATTAAGTGACAAATCAAAAGCTACTCAGTGTCTCAGCTTTACCCCAAGAAGAGTGAACAAGGTTGAATATTTTAAGTATTCCAGCCAAAACCTCTCTTTAGAGGTGAGCGTTACGCCGTGAAGCAACTCTGACAGAAACATTAATTCAAGGAAAAACAACTTGACGAAATCTAGTCTTTAGATTTTAACCAAAAGGGTAAAAGGTTTCACAGATCAAAATATACTTCAAAGAATATCTGATTAGTGTTTACAGCTGATCATCAGGAGGCCAAATCCTTTCAATCTGATAAGCCCGTTTCAGGTCAAGCTAATTCTTCTGCTGCTCTTACCGTAGTAGAAGTTGGGTGGTCAAAAGTATTGATACGCTGCCGTATCTGGACACAATGCTAGTTTTGTACTGTATCAGTACAGAATAAAAGTGTTTTTTGCCTACTTTTGCTATTGTTTACTTTAGATTTCTAGATTTATTTGAACATTAAAAAGAATAACACTTCAGACAGCCTAAAAATATTGTTAAATTGTGTTATCTTAAATTTATTTGCTCACTTATATAACAAATAGTATCTCTGATTCTGTTGAGAAAACATATTCCATTTAGAGAAGGGTTGAAAAGGTGAGTTTTTTATGTTAATAAAAGTGTTTTTATCCCTTTTACTATGTGGTATTTTTTTTCATTCCCTTGGTATCCAGGGTTAAATGTTTTCCTGGGTATTGAAATTTTGTTTCATGAACATGCTTAGAGGTTAAACAAAAAAAGTTTTTGTTTAAGATTAGTTCAAACAACATTAATCAAAGGTTGAGCAGCACCAGCAGCTAACATCATGGAGGAAGTTTGCTTTATATATATTTTATTTTTATAGTGTAAAATTTAACAGCATGAAAATTGGTCTTTAGCACATCATTCAGGCCAAAGAACATGTCGGACTAGATTTTCATCATTTGCCGTTTTACTCAGTTGTTTCAGAAATTATTCAGACTAAATGTACCATAAGGCAGCTCTACTCCCAGCACGCAAAAGAAGCACATTTGCTTGAGAAAAGATTTCTGAAACTACATAAAATAAATAACTGTATAAAGAACAGCTGACAGAGAAGCGTTCCCACAGTTTGGGTCAGAATCGTTAAGATGTGACCTCTGAGGTGTATGTAGGGATAAAAGGGATAAAAATAAAAAATCAAAGAAATAAGTGCAACCGTCTCATATTTGGTGCATGAATAACTTGATCAGTTATGAGTGCTAAAAAGATGAATCAACTGATTGATCTGAGAACTCAATCAGCTGATGTCACAGCAGGAAAAACAAAACAACATTGGCTAACTGACGTTTCGGCATATCTCTGCTTGGGAGCACTGAGCAACAGTCCAACACTTATCTGACTGCAACCTTGTTCCACCATTTATTCTTCCTCAAATTATTTTTGTCCTAATCCTCTTTAGGCAGCGTTTTATCTTGATGCACAATTTTCCTTCCACTCAACCTTTTATTAACTTATCGCTCTACACAACCAGCCTCCTTGACAATAACTTATTTTGGATTTGCTCCATTTGAAGGGCGTTAATGGCTGTTTTCTGAACATCTGTCCAGTCAGCAGTCCTCCCTATGACCGAGTAGCCTACTGACCACTACTGACTGACCATCTAGATGCGTAGGAAACCCTGGCAGGCGTTTTTAATTAATCTGCTGTTTAGGACGTGACAGCATGAGTTTCTATCATGTCTTTTTTCTAAGCTGAATGTTGGGTTTTCCTCATCTGAATAAATATTTCCCTATAGCTTTAATGCATCTATACAACTTTAAAATGAGAGGAAATATTTTCTTTTCCTTTTATGCTTCATAAGCTAAAGACATCTTTGCAAGAAATGCCCATTTCTTGCAAAGTGTTCAGCTAAAGATAACATGGTGCCGTATTCAATCTGTCTGCCGTTTTTAGTTTGGGCCATTTTAGTGCTCAATCGACGAGTTTCAAAACGGGTCACTTGTTCTTTTTGTCTAACACACTGTAGGGCTGTTGCTGTACAGTTGGACTAATGGATTGGCTGAGAGAGGCTCAGAAAGCTAACACCACCCACACAATGTGTTGCACCAGTGTAAATGCTTCCTCTATAATCACACAGAAACAACTCAACCAGGAGCAGACAGATTACCCTGTAGCGAGGAGGCTGAAGAGCCATTAAAGTGCCTCCTCTTCATCCACCCTGAAGAGAATACATGGATCTGATCACGACAGCCCCAGGAGAACTATCGGCTTTTGCTTTTCTGTAAACTTAGCATTATTGGAAGATGAGATGACATCAGTGAGAGCCTTTTCAGGACAAAAACATGAAATAAAAGGAATCTGGTAGGAATAAGTGCAGATTTTTTTCTCTCCCTTACATTTTTTTCAATAAGACAGAACTAAAAACCTCTAATCTGTCATCAGATGAACACGACCCAGTTTGGGTACAACAGCATTAAAGCCATCAATCCTAACGGAGCATTAAGGATTACCAGAAAAACAAAGAAATGTCCCGACCTTTAGGAACCAGAGCTAATACTTTTACAGTGGGACAAATTTTAACAGCAGCCAGAGTCACACAGCCTAAGCTGTGTAATAGAGGCAGAAGATCTAGCGATGACACCAGTAGCAATATATCCCCACTACATCTC